CAGAATCGGAAGCAGGCTCCAGGCTCTGAGCCATCAGCCCAGAGCCTGACGCGGGGCTCGAACTCACGGACCGCGAGATCGTGACCTGGCTGAAGTCGGACGCTTAACCGACTGCGCCACCCAGGCGCCCCAACGGTAATTTTTTTAATCACATTATCCATCGCGTATATCTTGAAATAATATTTTCATTCATCATTACTTCAGCACTTATTAGATCAAACTCTAAAGCTTATTATATGATGCATTAATAAAAAGCACATATTATTGTTTCACCGATTTATTTTTAAAACTTTGCTATAATTGGTTCCATGCATTTAAATACATTCTGAAATAGGGTCTACAGGCTTCACCAGACCGCATGGCACAAAATAGGTTAAGAACCCCTAAAATGCAGATACAGGCATTTGGAGATTTCCCCCAGCCAAACAAATGATCTCATAGTGAGATGCACAGATCACGAAACTACACTTATGCTTCCCAGTCTAGTTCATTTGGGCCTCACTTTTAAATATGATTTGACAGCTAAGGAAGACCAGACATTAAGGACAGCCTCTACTCTGAAAGGTAGAGCCAGAACAAAACAAAATAGGGAGAAACAAAGAAGGGAGAGGAACAAAGTGATAAAATAAACTCATGAAAAAAGAACATCATGATTAATATCCAGAGAGAACTAAGAGACTCTATTTCATCTGTAAAACAAGACCAGAACAATACACATACAAAGGAGCAAAGAATCCAGAGGACTTCTTGAAAACTCAATGAAGATAGATTTAATAAGGGTGCCTGAGTGGCTCAGTCTGTTGAACATCCGACTCTTGAGTTTGGCTCGTGGTTCATGAGATGGAGCCCCAGGTTTGGGATTCTCTCTCCCCTCTCTTTCTGTCCCTCCCCACTTCCTGCTCGCTTGTGCACTTTTCTCTCTCTCTCCAAATAAATAAACATTAAAAACAAAAAGATTCTCTCTTCTTGTGCCCCTCTAAAATAAAAGATAGCTTCAATAAAATGTTCAACAGATGTGTGGAAAATAACATTAAGGACAACATTACTCTTTTCCTTCTTCCAGGAAGTGGGAAAAAAAGTCAAAAAAATGAAAATGGTATTTTATTTGCTCTGCCTAGTCTCCATTTCCAAATCATTGCCATGGTTAGTGAACACCTTCTGATCTCCACTTCTGCACCCTACCACTCCCCTACAGTGCCCCCACCCACACCTATTCACCTATATAGGGGCAGCTGGTTGAAAATGAGAGGGCAAAAAATGGGTTGGTTTTAGGCAGGGTACCAGTAACTTGCTCTTTCCATGGACCACAGTATCTGATAAATGAAAGTTCATCTCTATCGTGACCGCTACTGTTCTTACCAGATATTTCTAGTTGTCTGCCTACCAGCCTCATGGCGGTAGGCTCCTCCTTCTCCGTAGTTTGAGGTTAAGCATTGCCCTGTGGCTTACTTTGGTCTTACATCTGCTCTTTATGTGTTCTGGGTGGTGAACCATAGGGGGATGCGACGCCACACCGAAGAACAGCATAGAAGAAGCCAGCTTGGACCCTTTGGTATCTGAGCCTTGATCTTATTATGCATAAGTTACCTGGAGCCCAGTGGTTTTAAGTCAAACACTACATACATCAGTACCTGATTCTAGCACCACATGGTCTCTGAGTCCCTGCCTATACCATTCTTTCTATCTGATAAGCTCTCCCTAGGCCTTCTCCTGTACCCTTCACTTAATTAATTAGCACACTTATCCATCACAGTCCTTTCCAATAATTCCCCTAGGAAAGCTTCTCTGAATCCACACATCATGTAAGGTTCCCTGGCTATATGCTCCTACCCTTGTAGTTTTCCTTCACAGCGTTTACAAATTCTTGGCTCTTTCGCATGATTCTTTGAGTGCAGGATCTTTGGCTGGGCCTGGTACACAGTAGGTTCTCCATAAATATCTATTGAATGACGGAACAAGTGCACCTAGCATCAAGAAAGCTGAGAATAAGTCTGGAGGATATAGAAATGATGCGTTGGGGGAATGCAGAAATAAAGATCAAGGCACAGATGCAAAGAGCCAGTCGAAGGGCTGGTGTGGTGGTGCTCAGGTAACATCCAGAAGCAGGTCCATTTCCATTCCAGTGTCTCAGGGCTGCCAGTGTTATAAAAATAGTGACTGGAAATCAAAGGGGAAAAGTTACCACTTTCTTTCTACCTACGTATTGAATTTTAAAAGCAAACCTTCAGGCCCTTTATAATCACATTAGAGTGACTCCTGCCATGCTTTTCTAAAACGAAAGCCTCTGAAGTATGGAGGCCATGGTGTTTAAAATGTACTAAGTAGGGAGACTTACACCATCTGAAAAAAATCCCAAGTTCCTGCCATACCCGATTTTGAAATTCTATAATTTGATATTGCCTTCCTCTGGTAATGTACACTATTTCTTAATTCATAATAGATCATACATATGCCCATTTGTTAAAAGCACAATAAAACAGCTCATAGAAAAGCAGAGCTTAAGACCTGTGTGGCTTTCAACGATATATTACATCTTTCTCTTTCATGCTTCTCTGGAAACTCTGAGTCTTAAGTAGTCTTACGTAAGGAGACATACAAACGCACTGGTGGTCTACTGGAGAGGCAAGTTACAAATATCTCCACGTGAAAGTACCTCAGAGTTCACTCAACTCTTGAGCCTGATAGAGAAATTGAAGCAGCCCTTGGAGGGTGGGATCTGAGAGTGACCATCGACCTACTGTGGCCCTCAGACAACCCTCAGAATGCTGACAGGGCGTATATAATGAATGAAATTAGAGAGTCTTTTACATTTTAAAGGGTGCTGTAACAAAACCCGATTTAAAGCTCATTGACTTTCCTCCATAGCCACAGTAAAGGTCTCATAAGCCTGTCTCTCTCCACCCAAACGAATAGAATGAGCAAAACTCCAACAGTACTGTTCTTTCTTCGTTTAATGTTTTATTTATTTTTGAGAGAGAGAGAGAGAGCGGGAGAGAGGGAGACACAGAATTCAAAGCAGGTCCAGGCTCTGAGCTGTCAGCCCAGAGCCCACCACCGGGTTCGAACTTAGGAACTATGAGATCATGATCTGAGCCAAAGTCGGATGCCTAACCGACTGAGCCACCCAGGTGCCCCAGTATTGTTTTTTTATAATAGCTAAAGTATTCTGCATTCCTCCTTTTATAAATTTCCCCCTCCTGCTCTTTTCCCTCACTCAGCACAACTAGTTTACTCCCTTAAACTAGTTTACTCTTTTATCCAAAAGAGATACTCACTTTGAGCCAGGCTGTGTCTGTGCCACTCTTTCAACAGGAATTACACCTAGCAGCTGCAATGTCCACAGACAAATGCCCAGTGGCTTCTGGGAAACAAAATGAACAAAGAATGAATGAGTGAATGGAAATAATGCAAGTTCTAGGTAGAGTGTATTTCTGTCACAGCCATTCTTTAAAATGGGAGTAGTCCCATTTTCCTTGCAAGCGTAAAGAGTAACATTAATTGTTTAAGAGTTATGCAAGCAGCCATATGGTAACTGTCAAGTTCCTAGCAGGAAGCAGCACACTCAAAGGGGAGATTGGAGAGAGTTTAATAAAAGGATCTTTCATAAAGGTGCAGATGGGGACTGGAGAAACCAACAAAAGATGGTGCAATGTTCTAGGCTATCAACAGCTGAGAGCCTTTCCCAATCTCTAAGACTGAGAGGGACAAGGAAAGAGAGTAGTTACCCAAGTCCAGACAGAGTACCTGTATGAAAAGGACCTCCCACCAGAGCTATGGCTATCCCTAGAAGGCAGCCAACTGACTGGAGGGATAGCCATAGCGTCCTAGGACTCATTCTCCTGTTCCTTTCAACCTTCAATCCCCCATATCCAGTTTGGCCAAACCCAAGCATACGTCGGAAGGCAAGTTGGTGTATTGGCACAGTTGTTATGGGTCAGCCTTCCTGACTATTGAGCAAGACGGAGAGGGCTGGAAAGTGGGTCAGGAGGGGTAAGAAAATATCCAGTATATTAACACACAGTAGAGACGGAATGCATGGCCACCGACTCTGAAGCTGAGTGTGATAAAGTAAGAAAGCAGTGACTCCTATTCATTGATTCACTCATTTAACATTAGCCCTTTATTCAGCCCCCATCCTGTAAAAGAATTCTGCTAGGTCCTGAGCATACAAAGAAATAAAGCATGATTTCTGCCTACAAGGAGTTGTAATGGGACAATCAGACAAGTAAATAAGCAACTGACAACACATCATAGTGATATTAGTGAAATATTGACAACGTATTTTACAAGGTCATTCTTTTGAGATTCGGGTTGACAAATTCCTTACACTGATTTGAGACACATGCCCACAGAGTGCCAGAAATACTGGTGAATAGCGTGACAGGTGTGCTTACAGCTCCATGTACTTAGAATTTGCTACTAAATTTTATATTATTTGAATCAGTCTTAGAGCAAATACATCTGAGTTTTAAATTCTTCAAACCTTCTAGGCCTTTTGCCGTGAAAGAGTAAGTGGCTTTGGCTGGTTATGTTCCATGACCAGTGTTTGCTAACATTCACTTTTGCAATTGGTCCCCTCTCAGAACCAATGCCAAGCATCGCACACAAAATACACACACACACACACACACACACACACACACACACACACACACCCTGCTACCACCACCACCACCACCAATGACAACAGCAACAGCCTAGTTGATGTTTTGTCACGACCAGTTCTGGCACGCGCTGCATGCCGTGTGGCCGAAGTGAGAGGATACTCAACTTCTATACCAGTAAAATTCCTCCATTAACAACACATAACTTGATTACGGCAGAAAACGATCGTGCAGGCTGATTATGAAGGGCTTGAATTCCATAAGCATTTCTCAGCTCCGACGACTTTTATAACACACAAATACAAGCAGATTGACCAACCTAAGCTTCACAGTGTATGTCAAATGATATAGTGTGGGTTTGTTAGTCTCCAATGGAAGATCTGTTCATGTACTCACCATCGTTGTAGAGCTGCTGACCAATACATGTTCGTATTCCTGAAGATATCTGTATCAGTGTTGTGCCATAACTCATCATTGTCACTAGAAAAAATGGGATGGGTGCAGTAACATAAAACTGTCAAGAAAGGAGTCCTCATGGGTATTTACCCAAAGAAAATGAAAACACTAACTCAAAAAGACACATTCACCCCTATGTTTACTGCAGCATTGTTTACAATAGCCAAGATATGGATGCAACCTAAGTGTCCAGAGATAGATGAATGGATAAAGATGTAGTGTGTATATACAATATATGCAATGGAATATTACTCAGCAACAAAAAAGAATGTTGCCATTTGCAACCAAATGGCTGGACCTATGGTATTTTGCTTACTGGAATAAGTCAGACAGAGAAAGGCAATTACCATGTGATTTCAATCATATGTGGACTCTAAAAAAAAAAAACCAAATGAACAAATAAAAAGCAGAAATAGACCCATAAATACAGAGAACAAACTGGTGGTTGCCAGAGGGGCAGTGGTGGGGGGTGGGCAAAATGGATGAAGGGGAGTAGAAGGTTACGGAATGAATGAATCAAAAGGATGAAAGTTACAGCACAGGGAACATAGTGGTTTTGTAACGTCATTGCATGGTGACAGATGGTAGCGACATTGGCAGTGAGTACAACATACAGGATAGAGAAGGTGAATCACTGTGTTGTATACCTGAAACTAATGTAACATTGTGTGTCGATACTATACTTCAAGAAAAAATTAATTTTAATTTTTCTTAACATTTATTCATTTTTGAGAGTGAGAGAGACAGAGTATGAGCAGGGGAGGGGCAGAGAGAGAGAGGGAGATACAGAATCCGAAGCCGGCTCCAGGGCCCGACGCGGGGCTTGAACCCATGAGCCACGAGATCATGACCTGAGCCGAAGTCGGACGCTCAACCGACTGAGCCACCCAGGTGCCCCAAAAAATTAATTTAAAAAAAGGCAAGGAACTTCCAAAGATCTTTTGCTTCCTTATTTTGAAGACCCATTATTACCAAAGGTCTAAGAGCTAACTCCCTCTAAAGGCCTCCTAATATACCTCTGCTCGTCAATCATTCTAGCAAACAGCTTAAGTGCTTAATAACGTAAAATCCAGTAGCACTGAACCACGGTGACCTCTGTCAAAAACAACATTACCTGCAGCTGATAATTTTAAATTAAGTGAAATAGAGACTGGTGGTATTGTCCCTGACGGTTGCAAGCTGTGTCTCCCTGTGCCTTCAGGATCTTGTGTCTTTTTGTGCCACACTGTTGGTCCAGCCAGCCTCTGGGTCTGCAGTAGTGTGCCCTGATTCCCAGCCCGTGCCAACGGCTGCTGCTGGCTCCAGCAAAACCGAGTTCTGTATACATTTGACCCATTTGAAGCAAAGCCGAGAGTGATCATTTGTATTCTAAGATTCAGTTCAAAGTTGTGGTTATCTGTTTTCTTCACGCATTTTATGCTTTACAAATGTAATGCATAACACTCATTAATTCAATATATGAATTACATGTGTGTGCTCCATATGAATACATGACTCAATCTATAAAAGGTCATTTGTATCCAGTTTATCAGAAGCTCATTTATTTCATAAAACTCTTGTACCTTTCTAAAACGATGCAAAAGGAGCATATGTAACAAAATCTGATGTGACAGACACAGAATGGGCTTTGAACTCAGTAAGTAGACTTCTACTCAAATCACACATTTGCCACTTACTCACCAGGTGACTTTAGACAACTTAGTAAACCCCTCTGAGCCTTACTGTCTTTGTATGGTCAGTGGCAATGACAATACACAGCTATTGGATTGTTGTGAGAAATAAGCAAAATAAGTAAAGTATCTTTGTAAAACATAGAGAGGAAGGACTCAGTATTTTAATTTCTTTATGTCCCTTTGTTTGCTATTAATAATGGACTAGGTGTGTGTGAAATAGATACCAAACCAACAAAACTTTATGGTTTAGCCTGCTTGTCTCAGAAAACCTGTGTTGAAAAGGCTCATGAGAGATTTATTTGAATGTGCTTCCTTCTCTTACACACTTTCTTGTCTGACGGCCACAGATACTCAGTAAGCAAGCTCCTCAATAACAAGGCAAATTGATTTCCAATTCGGACATTTCTTCTGATTATATAAATAAAGATACCATCTCAGTAGATTGAACTGAATCTTAGATTTTATTTTCACATTTTTCCCCTTTTTAGGGTCTTTCCAACAAATTTCTAGCAAATGCTATTTACAGGAATTTCTAAAAAGAGACCAAAGGCTTTTAATTGTAAACCTTTTGAGCTAAAAGCAGAAATTCAGTAACTAGCAAAATGATAACATTTTGGCTCAAAATTAATATTTCTATTTCTCTTCTGCCAAAATGGTTTGCTTCTTTTTGATTGATAGTTAACCAGATTTCTACCAGAGCATTTCCAGATTTTTAAGTTTTTCCTTTACCCTTTCTTTATAGAATTGCTAAAGTTTATTTCTTGACATTTCTGTATGATGTTTTCATAAAACAGTCCACTCCTTTGTCTCACTATATTTTGTCTGAGCTTTTTTTTTAAAAAAAAAGGTAGCAATAATGCCTTAATATTCATTACCTCAGACTTTGTAAAATATCGTATTTCTAAAGGCACAACAGGTGAACAGAACCTCTGATCGCTGAGGTGTTACATTATTTGAACAAAATATTCTCCGGGGACCTATGCAAGATTCTGACACCTAAAACCTGAATTTAGCTTTGAATTTGGCAGTGGAGCTCTTAGCAAAATAGCGGTGCTCTGGAGGAGCTGAGCTTTCTTTATGTATGATTCATCTGGCCATATTCATGCAAACTAAAAGAAATGTACAGAGACAGCAACGAAATGGAATCCCAACATAAGCCAGTTATACTTGATGAAAGTGGGAACCATTCAACAACCAAGTAACTGGGGCGCCTGGGTGGCTCAGTTGGTTAAGCATCTGACGTCGGCTCCAGTCATGATCTCATGGTTCGTGGGTTCAAGCCCCGCGTCCGACTCTGCTGACAGCTCAGAGCCTGGATCCTGCTTCAGATTCTGTGTCTCCCTCTCTCTCTGTCCCTACCCCACTCATGCTCTGTTTCTCTCTCTCTCTCTCAAAAATAAAGAAACATAAAAAAATTTTTTTAAAAACCAAATAACTGTCCTTAAAAGTGAAAGATTTCTAAATTCGTGGATAATATAAAGAATTACTATTAGATAGTCTTTTTTGGTTGACTTTCTAACCTTCGAGGTTTATACAGCATTCCTTGAGAAAAGTAACAGTGGTTTGACTTTAATTTGTTATGTAACTTGGGTTATGCTACATAATTAAAATATAATGAGCTTACGGAACTTCATGCCCGAAAAAAAATTAAAAACCGTAATATTTTAGAAGTTGTGCTTGCAGCTTATTGACAGGAAACACTTGTTTTGGTAATATTTTGGCCTGTGGACAAAGACAAGTAGGAAGCTGGCAGTGCTTCTGGCCTTTGCCCTGGCTTTAATTTGCTTCAAATGTCCAAATGCCCTTCTCTATGTTTCCTGGACAGAATAAAGTGAGTTATGTGAGGGCAGCCTTTCCTTGACTTCTGATCATTCATGTCATAAACACAATATTTGCAAGAAAAATAAAGAACAATAGAAGTGTCCAGAGCTTCTTCACTGAAGGAGTCAACTTTCTTTACTGTCTAATTCATTGCAAGCGATTGACTTGAACTCTTGGCTTATGTTGTGCACGGAAAGGAATGCCTTCGCTCAGATTTTTGAGAATTAACAGGGCCACAGTGTTGGGGGGACATGGGATTTGTTCCCTAGATGGGGTTCCTGAATCTTAAAATGCCTCACCTTCCTGTCTCCTTTGATATCTAGAACCCTGAAGTAAGGACAAGAGTTCTGACACCACTTTAAAGATGCAAACAAACAAACAAAACCAAGAGTCACAGAGGTGACGTGTTTCCCATAAGGCTCATACAGTCACTTAGTTAATACAGAGTTGTAGTAGTGGGCTCAAAAAGAAGATGGGAGAAAAAGAAATAGAAATATACAGACGTTAGTCAGGAAGTTCGTCAGGGCTGAGGCCTCTGGAGAATGATTTGATTTGTATTTTATTGTAAACGGCCACTCACTTTCATGTGGAGTCCGGATTGTAAGGGGCAAGAGAGAAAGCAGGGACCCCAGTTCAGAGCCACTTTGGGGAACAAGAGAGAGGAAGATGATTGTGATCCTTCTATAGGCTACGATAAAAAAGAAATTTGTATAAATAAAAAATAAATAAAGAAATATAAATATTTATATATTTATAATTATATTATATACAAATATAATATAATTATAAATATTTAAATTTGTATTTATATATGTATATTATATTTAAATATATGTGTGTAAATTTAAATATATATTTAATTTTATATATTTATATATAAATTTATATAACAATATAAAAATATAATATAATAATATAAATATATATATAAATATATATATAAATATAAGTAAAAAAATAGGGACAAGAATATCTATTCTATTACTAATTCAAGGTTTTTTTTTTCCAGGAGCTTCCTGGTATTTTCGGTCTGGCCTTATCTTATCCACCAGAGTCAGATTTCTAAACTCATTCGATTCTCTCTCTCCTCTATCCGACACCTTCAGTACTTTTTCCTCACCTTACATACGCAACTCCAAACTCTTAGGATGGTCCCAAGGCTCTTTGGAGCCTGGCCTCATCTTTCCAGACTTCCTTTCAGCCAAGCTCTCCACCCCTGTCCCCTAAGCCTGAATTCTCACAAAACTGAATGGTCACGCTTTCATACCTGTTGTTCTTTGTGCCCAGAACACTCTAACTTTCTTCCTGGCTTAGAAAAACATAGTCATCTTCCCAGTGCCAATAACCCAGCTCTTTTCTGGGAAATCAGTTATCCCAGGGATAAAACCACCATTGAATTCATTTCCCTAATAATGTTTTTCACAATTTATGCTCAATAGCTGTGTCTCCATCTCTCCCGATAGACTGTGAGAATCTCAAGGTCAAGAACCTGGTCTTTTTATCTTTTCTCATCATTGTATCCCTCAGTCTATGGTAGGGGCTCATCAGTGCTGATTGAAATAAATTAAGGTCTGTCTCATTATAAAAAAATAATGACAGGTAAAATAAAATATTTTCTCTAGAAAATCAAGATGTGAAAGCAAAAGGTCCATTTTGATCAAAACAAAACTAAATTTTGTGAGCAATCAAACTGTACATAAATTGAGAGTATTCTTCTGATATATAAATAACCTTTAAAAAGTACCATCTGTGCATTTTTCCACGTCAGTGTTTTTTTAAGTTCTTTTTTTCCAAAGAGGGGTGATGTCACAGGTTCCTTTAAGCTTGTGATAAAAACTGTTGGATCATTTCACAAATTCATATGAACACACAACTTTGCAAATAATTTTGGAGGCTTTCAAGCCCACTAAAATCCCCTCATGGGATAGATCAAGACTAGGTGAAAGTATCTTCTGTAAGCTTTTAAAAATATATGGTAAATCTTCTCTATAGTTGGAATATTGCTCACATTGCCAACTGTTACTTTCTCATAATGTGTCAATGTGCTAATAACTAAAGGTGAAATATTATGTTGTAGGCAGCATATAGTTTTGACAAAATATCACATAGAACATTACAACATCAGTATAAAACGATGTGAATTTTCATTCCAGATAGAATTCATTTGCAAATGATCACAGTGTAACCTTTTCAATCCATACCACCACAGATCCTTTCCTGAAGGGCAAAACAGCTAACAAGGAGCTCCAAAAAGAGAGAGACAGAGAGAGAGAGAAACATTTTAAATCCTACCTTAGTCAGCTAAAGAAATTAGTTGAATTCTTCCCAGATGTGAGCAAATATTTTATTCTCTCTCTTCCAGTTTTTTTTTTTTTCTTTGCTTTCAATTCAGAAGCTATGTCACAGATGAGCTATGAGTAGGTATAACAGAATGTATAGCGTGTATCCAGGACTGATTTTGTTGATCATTCTCTTTGGGACGAGATACACTCAAGAGTTCAACAGAGGTAGCAGTTCCATCAAGGATTGTTAAAAAAAAAAATGATGGCAATATTATCACTCGGTCAAAATTAAAACAAATTAACAGAGGCCATTATTAGCTGTTATTGATTGATGTGAATTTGAATGTTCCTTTCGGGTAAGTTAGTCCTGATGGTTCTTATGGGAGTTTATTTGAAGTTGGTGTCCATTCATTGTACCACCTGCTCACAAAATGTAAGAATTAAAAAGCATACCCGAGCATTTCTCGAGGTGAAATGTATTGGCAGAGCTGTATCTATCTAAATAAATTTCTTTAGCATATGTATAAAGTCGTTTCAGTCTGGGCTAGCTAGCATCGGTAAGTTAACTCATGGAGAACCAAGGTCGCTGATTTCATCTCTGAAAAATACCTCTCACCTGGATTACTGCCATTGCCTCCTAGTCCTCTTTCTCAGGTTACCCTCACTCCTGACCGTCTCTTCTCAGCCCAGCAACCGGAGGGATTCCTTCCAAAACCCAATTTTGGATCATGTCACTGCTCTGCTCAGAGCCCTTTAGCAGCACCCTATGTCCATGCAGAGTAAGAGCCAAAGTTCTTAAATGGTCTCCGAGTCCCTCTGGACTTGACCTGCTAACCTCTGACCTCATCTCCCACCATTTTCCCCCTGCGGCACTCTCCCTCAGCTACGTTGACCTCCTTGCTTGACTATCTGAGACCCAAATTACTCTCTGGTGGCTGTGCCATCTGCTTGGAGTGCCCTTTTCCAGGTGTTCGCTTGGCCAACTCTTTCACTGCCTTCAAGTCGTTGTATCTCAACTCACTTGTATCCCTTCCTCTGATCCTCCTTATCCTGCTGACTTATCGTTTTATTCCTTGTGGAATTTAATATCTTCTGACAATATTTATACTTTGTTATGTTTATTGCCTGCTCCTCCACTCCTTCCAAAATGTAATCTCTTCAAGGACAAGTGTCTTAATAATGTATTCCAAATATCTCAAATAGTACTTGGCACATGGTAGGCTCTCAATAAATATTTGTTGAATCAAATGAATGAATTGAGGGGCGCCTGGGTGGTGCAGTCGGTTAAGCGTCCGACTTCGGCCAGGTCGCGATCTCGCGGTCCGCGAGTTCGAGCCCCGCGTCGGGCTCTGGGCTGATGGCTCAGAGCCTGGATCCTGGTTCCGATTCTGTGTTTCCCTCTCTCTATGCCCCTCCCCCGTTCATGCTGTGTCTCTCTCTGTTTCAAAAATAAATAAACGTTAAAAAAAAAAATTAAAAAAACAAACAAACAAAAAACAGATGAATGAATTGATTACTATACAGCCTAAGATTTACATATTAATTCATTCTGAAGATACAACAATGTATAAGAAGACAGGATCCTGTACGAAAACTAACCGATGTTGTCTCTACCATTAGGATCTATATTAAACTGTTTGCCACTGACCACAGACAGCCCTGAATAAAGGAACAGGGATGGTTCTAACCACATCTATTCAATTTTGGGAGAAAAGACATCTGTTGCAAGGATTTCAATGATACTTCAAGAATGTAAATTACTGCCTAATTTTTGAACTCAGAGTGAGACATGATCCTGAGCCCTTTCCCATTCTTAAGGTAATCAGTTGGTATAAAGCTAAATCCTACCATTTGTTGGTATTGTCAGCAGGCTGAACTTTAGGAGGATAATAGTCTGAGAGCCTCATAAAACACGGATGTACAAGGAGTAAAGTAGCATAATTTCTTCTTTTCATAATGAGATTAAAACAATAGCTTCAAAAACTAGCGTCCTAGACAACCATGCTGGGTGTCTAAGTCTGGATCTCAGACGATTGCAGATGTAGGACCAGACACGTCTCAGCATTGCCTTCCCAAATGCTCAGAGAGTGGCACCAACATCTTCAGCAAGCTGTGTGCAGTCAGCATAGGTGCTGTGACACCAAGATTCATGATCTTGTCGGCCAAGACTTCAAGGGCCACGTGAGAGGAACACTGACAATCCTTATCCTCTATCCAGTTGGCTGTGACAGAATACCATACTGGGTAGCTTCAACAATCGACATTTATTTCTTCTAGCTCTAGGAAGTCTAGACTTCTAGGGAAGTCTAAAATCAGTTAGCATGGTTGAGTGCTTGGTCCGGCCCCTGTTTCTGATTTAGAGGCAGCTGCTTTCTTTCTCCACTGGAGGCGGGGGTGGGGTGGGGGGAGAGAGACCAAGCTCATAAGTGGACTAATCCCATCATGGGGGCTCTACCTTCTTGACCCCGTCTAAATGTAATTGTTTCTCAAAGGCCCCACCTTCAAATATATTGCACTGAGATTAGGCCTTCAACATACGAATCTTGAGGGGACACAAATACTCAATTCGTAATAGTCCCCAAGAAATATCTGTGGAAATTTTCCGGGGCTCCTAGAGACTTAATGAAGAATTGTCTGGTCTGTGTCAAGTCCTGGGATTTGCTACGCCTTCTCTACCCACCTTCATCTTACTTTTGCCAACATGTCTGATACCTCATCCACTTGAGTCTTCTTTTAGAGAAAAAAATAAAGAAGGAAATATTTTAATATGAACTGAATATATCTAAATGGGCGACTAAGTTTTCTGCTACATTTTTCTTTCAGTAGCAAGCCATTTCTAGGAAATAATTAGGTTTATCTGACAGTGGTACTTGAAAGATTAGAAGTAATACCATATTAAAACTGCATATAACATGAAAAGTAAAAAAAAATGGATTCTAGAAAGGATCAGCTCAGATAATCCTATACAGGGTGTTCTATTTCTTTCTTATAATTCACTTTATTTGATAGGTACATTATTTTTAGCCTTAATCGTAGTCAATATTATAATTGGTTAGATTATCCTAGTGAATTCTTAAATCCTGGCTAAACATTTCTTTTATTATTCCATAGAATCCCTTCATTACTTGCTGGCTTGTAGAATAATCTTCATATTAAGTTAAGCAAAGAATTTTAAAGCAATATCCTTAAAGTATTTAACACATTCTAGAGGCCAATATAAGTGGCTTTAAGTTTTATGTATATTAAGCCATAATTTACATGGCTACTATTGTCTATTTACACAGACAATTTAAAATGATTGCATTTGGGGAGGCCTCTATCAAAACGAGGGAGCTTATCCAGCAGAAACCATCAGATATTCTATCATTAATATTTTTCAGGTGCAGTTTCCAGAAGAATATATTTTATATTTTCAGCTTTAGTAATAGTTAACTTTCTTATAATAACTGCACACTCAAGATTATTTTTTTCATAATTTAGGACAACCCTAAATGGTTGTCCATCAATAAATGCATTAATATTTATCAAATGAGAAGAAAATACCTTTTAATACGCTTTTAAAATGTTCTAAATATAAGTCTTTCAAGGGGTCCCTGTGAACTATCAGACTGTAACAATGATGTAAATTATACAATAAAAGAAATTATACAGTTATTTAAATAGCATTTCTTAGAAGAATACACGATCAGAGGAAGAATACTCGAATCAGTATTTTTGTTAAAGACTTTGAAAAACAGATTGTATGCCAATAGGCCTGTATATCCTACTGGTAGTGAGAAGTACTTTTAGACTCAGATCCTTACATTGGCTTTGGAACTGGCATAAAATGAAAAGCCTTAGTTACCTTCAATATACCGTCGTCTTCCATTTCATACAACTGCTTCTTTGAAAGAATTCCAGTGACCGGAAAGAACTGTATTAATTGAAAAGAACCAAGTCAAACATAAGGTGAGTGTGGGAACAAACCTCCGAGGGAAAAAATGCCCACATTGAGGAGCCTAAGAAAGTGAAACTTCGTGTGTACATTGTTCTTTAATACATTTTTGAACACTTTTTGTATGAATGCCATTCTAAGGCACTGTTGCTGGGGTGGGGGATGGGGGGCGGACAAAAAGATGTAAACAAACTCTAAAGCTCCTGGAGCTTATATGCAACTATTATTTCAGATTAAGGATAGAGCCATATAAATGGTATAGAAAGAAATGTCTATCAGAGTGGAGGAAAGAAAGAGATACCATTTCTGCATAAAGAGATCAAGGAGGGTTTTAGTGAGGGAACATTTAACATGCAGGGAACGAGGTGTACCAGGGTTAATTGGAAGACGGTGAGTACCCAGGGGGACTGAGCACACTAAAATAAATCTGGAAATGGAATTTGGACATGTTTGTGAAAATGACTTGGAAGGCCAGAAATCCAGAGCACCTGACCACAGCAACCAATATGTTTTTAGATTTTTTCGTGTGCAGGTTGGCACATGGGACACAGAGTACCCACGAGTGAGTTGTGAGTTTGCGTTCAATGGGCCAGTAATAAAAAAGACAAATATCTGTGCTCTCACATTTACCGTGTTGAACTGTAAAAAGACCGCTTTGTCATTTCTCTATCGGCATTATTCATTTAATAGATATTTATTGAAAAAGTGCGACGGGCAATGGTAGGTAGCAGGGGGAATTGGTGTGGCTTCATTTATGGCTGCCTTCTTACCTCAGCTCCACTAATAATCTCTAAGCCACAGTTTCTTCTTCTGTAAAATGGGGATATGCTGCTTCCTCGCAGCTCTTATGCATGTCAAATGAGGTACGGTAAGTCAAAGCCTTATCAAGGCCTGACGTGTGGTTAGGGCTCATTTAATTCTCTCTCCCCTGGCCTTTCCCAGGCTTTGCTCTCCCCCTCCCTCTGCGTCTCTTGTCTTCCCCCACTGCTGGAGCCACTGAAGCCTTCTTTATAGATTTCTCTGCTCTATAAGTCTCAGAATTAAATCCAAACCTAAGCAAGAATAATTTAAGGAGTCCTTACACAATATTTGGGACTCAGCTCCAGTCCTTGTCTTGGTAGTAGCCTAGCTCTGACCTTGAGTGTGTTTCTGTCTTTGGACTTTTGCCCAGTCACCTCTTTACAACTCCGGCCTTTCTAAGACCCGGATGCTATTTTCTCCTGGCCAAACGCCACAGCCTCGCTTTATCCCCTTTTTTATTGGCTCTGTTGCCCTGGACCCCGGTCCGGTGAGTGGAATCTCACTACTTACTGAATGTTGCCGATGTTTAGGGCCTGTCTGTTCTTCGGTGTATTTGCCTGCTTCTGGATTGGGTCCTGGGCTTGTGCCCTTCCAAGATTTTGTTTGTTTTTATGGAACCGAGCCACCCCTCCCCATAGCAGCTTTATTAGAGCACTCACTTGGGTCTTTTGCCATGCCACTGGAATTTCCTTGGACACTGCAACTAAGGAAATACGTGATTGCCCGTGTGCAGAGGCCTGGATGGATGCTGGCATTTGTCCCTCAGTCTACCGGGATCGTCACCAGGCCTGTCCATACCCACACCATTCATAAAGGTACAAAGGGAACCTAAGGCAAGTCCTTACACTCAAGGATTGCAGGACAAAGAAGGAGAAATGACACCAGAGTATGCCTAAGTAGAGTGCAGGGCAAGATACGGTAAGTGTGTCAGAGAAGATCAAGACACTGCGAATTCACAGAAGCGAGGAATCCCATTAGGTAGACGCATTTCTGAGCTGCCAGGTTCAAAGTGACATCTGAGCTGGGATTTCAGGTTGGATATCAACAGACAGATGAAGCTACACAGATGTCAACACACAGCTAGAACATGGAAGCAACATAAAAAGCTACAGGGTACCGAGGAAAGAGTAAGTAGTGGGTGGGAAGGCTGGAGAGAATCTGGTCTGGGCCTAGCTTATGGAAAATCTTAAATGCCTAGCTCGAGAAAAAGCACTTAAAAGGATGAGTATTAGAGATCAGGTGTAGTAGACAGCCACACAGGCTAGGTACTACTCAACCCCAGGAGGTCCCATTTGCATAGTGGGGGCTGGCAAACTTCTGTTTTATTTGGCCAGATAGTCAATATTTGAGGCTTTGCAGACCATGTGGTCTGTGTTGCAACTACTCAAATCTGCCTTTGCAGCCAAAAGAAGGCACAGACAGCATATAAACAAATGAGTATAGATGTGCTCCAATAAAACCTTGTTTATGGACACTGAAATTTGAGTTTCACAGCATATTATTATTTTGATTGGTTTCAACCATTTAAAAATGTAAAAAAAAAAAAAAAGTGGGGGGGGGTGCCTGGGTGGCTCCCTCAGTTGAGCATCCGACTTCAGCTCGGGTCATGATTTCATGGTTTGTGACTTCAAGCTCCGCATCAGGCTCTCTGCTGTCAGTACAGAGCCCCCTTTGGATCCTCTGCCCCCCTCTCACTCTACCCCTTCCCCACTCATGCCCTCTCTTTCAAAATTAATAAACAGTTTTTTAATATAAAAGATGTTTTAAGGGGCGCCTGGGTGGCTCAGTCCGTTAAGCGTCCGACTTCAACTCAGGTCACCATCTCACAGTCTGTGAGTTCGAGCACCGCGTCGGGCTCTGGGCTGACGGCTCGGAGCCTGGAGCCTGCTTCGGATTCTGTGTCTCCCTCTCTCTCTGCCCCTCCCCCGTTCATGCTCTGTCTCTCTCTGTCTCAAAAATAAGTAAACGTTAAGGAAAAAGATGTTTTTAGCTAATAAGCATACAAAATAAGCAGCAGACCAGATTTGGCCCATAGGTTATTGTTTGCTGACCTCAATCTAGACTCCATGTGAATGATACTCCTGGAATTAAGATGCAGGCCATGATTGAAAACCATTGATGGCATTTATTAAAGACAAGCACGATACTGTCAAATCTGAATAAGAAAGAGATTAGTAAGAAGAGAGACAGAGATAAGAGATCATAGTTCAAGCTGTGTGTATCTGCGTTTGTGTGTGCATGCGCGCTATTTTGGACACAGTTTTTAACTGCCATGTAGAAAGTGCCTTCTGATTTGGACCGTGTATTTTTCTATACTCTCTATTCCAAAGTGTCCACACAATGTATGGTCATCAACTTGGAACTGTGACCAGCCCTGTGAATGTCTTTTATCCACGACAGCAGCAGAAGTGTTTCAAGAGAAGAAAAACAATCATTCTCGAGGCTGTAATCTTCGTGGGAGGTGGGAAGGAACCCAAACCCTTGAGTCAAGGCAACAGTACATAGAAGTTGTTAGCAAAAGGAAACAAAGGAGCATTCGCTTGGCAATAGCCCGGTCCTATTTTATCATAACATCACATAAAACATCCTATAAAATTCACTCACTGTGCTTTCTGTCACGCTCCATTTTAAAAGCCAGCACTTGGACATGTGTCAGAAATCTTGGTTCAGTGACCTTCTGCTTCAGAAAGCTTTATCTCATTGTTGATATGCTATCTGCATTCCAGCACGTGGCCGGGGGTATCTATTTGCAGCTGACTTTATTCGATCCATTTCTTTTGTTCGTCACCGTAGAGTTATGTGGGCCAATGACTAGGCAGAAAAATTCCATGACAAAGTTCAACTAGCAGATTTTTGTATGGATTTTTGTGGGTTGGTTACCACAGTACTGACTGGTTCCTGGACTCTAATATTTTAGGCTGTAATCCATCCGTGACCTTTCAATGACCATAAACGTGTTCCTAATGTTCCGTGTGTGTATAATACTGTTACTAGCAGCAAGAAACGTTTTCTGAACTAGAACCCTAGGGGGAGCTTCTGTGGAGGCCCATCTGTTTAATGTAGGAAATACTCGTCTATCAGACATAGATACATGCAAGCAGAATGAGCTTTCTCAGAAAATAAATGGCAGGCTGAGTTAAAAAGAAGGGACAGTTTGTCACTTTAAAACAGGTGCCTTGGACTCTTTCTGTCATGATGCTGTAGATTCCACTGAGTTTTCCAGAGAACCCAAAGCATATTTTAATAGTAGAATTCACACGTTTGAGTACTTTGCATGATGTCTATTTATAAGATTACGCCTGCTATTGATGACATTTTTTGCATACGGAAAAATGATCAATAATCATGATTATCATTATTACCATTAAAATTTTACCATCACGAGCAATCTTGAGGTGACTTACAAAAGAACTACATGTACGTTCAGTACCGTTTGATATCTGACAACAAATATGCTCATTAATTAGCCAAATCTGTAAAAATTGATGTCTTTAAAAGACTTTGATATCGCCTCAAATACACGGTAATGAAATTTTTCAAATAGCTGACAGTTGGCCAGTATTATACTCTGTCCTAACTACACCTCCATCCTTGGAACATAGGGTCGGCTTTGTGGCCTAGTAGCTGATCTAGGTAGACGCTCTCTAGCAACAGAGCATCAGATACCACAAGAGCCGCCAAACTTGTGCTTTGGGTAATCTTTAATGTTTAACATATGTCATAATTTCCTTTGCATTTTCTTCATACTCTGTACATAGAAAATACACCAGGGCTGATACGTAAACAGCTCCTTACTTCGCTGCTTAGGCACCTCAGCCGTTAAGCAAGCAAGACTGGACATGGTACCATTGTTTACGGCTCTAACAATGTTGATGTAGAACAGCGTAATTCGTTACATCTCATCCAGACAGGCTTTCTAGGTTTCATACTGCATTATTTATGTACTTGTATTTGAACAGTCGCCTAAATATGGTAATTCTGCTTGCAGACTTTTGTAGCGGAAACTAAAAAGTCTCGCTAATACAAGCAGGGTAGGTATTATTTTCCCCATTTGGTGGATTTGAAAACTGAGACCCAGAGGTAATGATTGATTTACTCAAGGCAACATGGGTAGTGACTGGTTCAACAAGATCTATGCTCAGTTCTGCTGGGTCCTACTCCTGTGCTCTCTCCATCTTAAGGAAGCCATTCCAAAGCTGGCTGTTGTGCGAAACTTGAGAAGTGCTCACCAATGCCCAGGGTTCCTTTCCTTGAAGGGCCCTTAGAAGACTACACTTCCCAACCAGCCCTCTTATAGTTAAGTGGGACCATGGAACTAGCTGACCATTGGACCATGAGCAGAAGTGATGTATGTCACTTCTGACCTGAGTTATGTAAAAGACTCTGTGGGACCTTTCAACACAATCTCCTTCCTTTTGGGGGCAAGCATGGAGGCCATACGTTGACCGATTGGGGCCATGAGCTACAATGAGCCTGGACTCCTGAGTCACTTCATGGAGGAGAGCCATCATGGTTAGTCACCTGACTTAAACAGACTTTAAGGAAGAAAGAAGCTATCTCAGTTAAGCCACTGAGTTTTGGGCTTGTGAGTCAAGGCAGCACAAGCTCAGCCTATTCTACTAAAACCCATCTAGATCCTTTCTACAGATGCTGTCAACAGATGCTATCACCATTATCTCCCGCTATGATGTTGGGAGGGAGTACAAAAATTATACTTTGGCAATACTGAGAAAATAAAGCAGAAGGTAATATCAGGGTGCCTGGGTGGCTCAGTCGGTTAAGTGTCAGGTCATGATCTCACAGTTCGCGAGTTTGAGCCCTGGGTCGGGCTCTGTGCTGGCAGCGTGGAACCTGGATTCTGTGTCTCCCTTTCTCTCTGCCCCTACCTCACTCACGCTCTCTCTCTCTCTCTCTCTCTCTCTCAAAAATAAACTTTTTTTTTTAAAAAAGAAGGTAATAGGGATTGGTAAAAAATTAGTTGCCACAATTTAAAATCAATGGTCAAGGAAGGACTCATTTAAAAGATAACATTTGACCAATAAGTCAAAACCATGCAGATAAATCTGCAGGAAACACATTCTCAGCAAAAGGGAATCGTCACGTTTCTGACATTTGAGGATTAGAGGCCAGTGTAGCTGGAATACAGTGACTGGGGGAAGACAGTAATGAGAAATGGAGTCAGAGTTAAGGAGAAAGAGGCACATCATGGACAGCTTTGTGGGCTGTTATAAAGACTTTGGCTCTTACTCTGAGGGAAAGCAGAAACCACTGGGAAGTGTAGTGACATAGTTTAATTTATATTTTTAAAAGATTGTTTGCTAAAAGCCTATTTATGACATTAAACAGTTATTTACATTGGATGATGTTGTTGCAATACAACCCTGATTTCAGGATGTGGGGTTTGGATACATGGCTAATTCACACCAAACCGACGCTGGTGGTGTTAACTCACACTGAAAATTATATGGATGACAATCAGACCTCTATCAAGGTTCCCAGTGACACCCTAGACTACAGTGCCCTTATTTGAAACACTTGCCATAAAGCTATCAAAGAAATCCTTGCAAGAGTCCTTATTCTCCTGAACCTCCACTGTAAATCATCAAAAATACTTGCATATAATTTCAAACCAGCGCTTGAAGTGTCCTAGGCAATGACAGAATGAAGACATTAATCTTCCAAACTCTTTGCTTTGTCATTTCCATCTGGATATTCAAAAGACACTTTTTGGCTCAGTGTCTCCCAAAATGGAACCATTCTCCACTCGCACCAGTCTACTACTCCAGAACTTAGGCCCACTGGATTCCTGGTCTTTGTTCAGAAAACCCTTATTACTCTAGTAGCTCGAGTCAGAAACCCCAGAGATTGCTAACCATTTCTAGAAAGTTCTTTGTCCTACACAATTCAACCCTTTCCCCTCACTTTCTCCAGTGCGACCTCGAATCCAGCCCGTGTTCCCTCTCATGCAAATTGTTGGGACAGTCCATGATGGATCACCTAGGTCCCATTCTTTGCACACAGCTACACGAAGTATCTTTCTAAAACACGAATCTGATTGTGTCACTCCCCTCTTTGCAAGGATGAGCTAAACTCTTTGGACTTAAAGATCCCGTACCATCAAGTTCCTGCGTCCATTTTTAGCCACATCTCTTGTCACTTCTAGATTGCAATTTTTACAGCAGCTACACAAGACTGCTTGTTGTTTTCCAAAATCCTAAGCTACTTCACACATCTGTGACTTTGCACGTGCCCTCTGCTGGAATATCGTTTCACCTTGTCTGACTGGCAAATTCCTACCGCTTTCAGCCTCTGCTTATAGGTGATACCAACTGTGAAGCCTTCCCCGACCCCGCCTCCAGGGCCCCTCAGATGTAACTGTATTTCAGTGGTGCCTTAGAACTCATATCTGTTGCCCACACCACACAATACTTTATATGCCAAGCCCCTGAGACAGAGGGAAAGGATATATATAGTAGGTGATTAGTCCACGTTGAATGAATTAATAACTCTAAATCCCATTCTGACTCTATTGCCTGGTGTTAATATAATTAAGGGGATGTCACATCTGTATGCTGACCCGCATCCTGTGCTGCTCAGTGGGTAGAAAAATGGCATTGTGTTACCACATCCTTCTTGAGGGAGAATGTAGTAATTTCTTTAAGTAGTTTGTTGGGTAAGTTGATTAAAAAAAACACTAATTTTGAATTTGTTTTTGCTCGGGTTTCTGGGTTGTTTGTTTTTTTTTTTTTTTTTGGCTTTTTATTGCTTCAGATTGACTTATTTTTGTAATTCTTTGGCTTGCACCTGATGTTATTAAATGATTACCATTCTTCTTAGGGCTGACCTCATTTTCTTGTCCAGCGGACGCTTTGACTATGAAGGGGAAACCTGTTGCGAAAAATCAGCCTCTAGCTTCTTGGTTCCTACGGGGATCTGAATTCTAAAGCTGTGTAAAAATAGACTTGAGTTAAGAGAGCAGCTACTCTAAAAGTAATAATCAACAGTGGGAAAAAAGTAAAGATGCTTGATTTTTTAAGGGACTACATTTTAATGATACCACATTGTTTAGTATTTATATTTTGTTCTTTTTTTTTTTTTTTTTTCTTATTACAGGATAGCGTATGTTCTATTGGGACATTGCTGTTTTTGCCTCATTAACTTGAAAGCCCTCTCTAGTCAGCATAAGGCATGTTTGGATGATGACTGCAATAATCTGCTGTTAGAACTGGCGGCTGAGTCATCTGTTTTTACAGGATGGTAGTGTAAAGAACTCAGTCATACATCTCGTGTCAAAATTGAGTGTGAATTTTAAAGTCAAACGTAAAATGAACCCTTGAGCGTACTCAAGTGAAAATCATGGCAACCCAAGGGCTGAGGGTTTTTGTAGCTACTATTTGATTTTTGACCCAGTTGTATTATTATAGTCCTTGTATTTTCATGCAGCAAGTGGAAAAATCCAAGCTCAGAACTCACTAGCACTGTTATGAAAAGGATGATATTAGAAATGATTTGAGTTTTTCTGTGATCGTCTGTAAACTGTGATCCTTTGCTCATTATGGGCTTATTTTCTTGTACAGTCATCAGTGGTCTAGTGCTTAAATGAGGGGTTAGTGTCATTTTGGTAAGTGGGCACCCACCTAGATCGGGTAGGGAGCCTACAAAGGTCAGTGCGCCTTTTGGGCCTGTTTCTCTTCCCTAAAATGGAAGGATTCCCAGGCTGGGCACCTGGGTCAGGTATCCGAGGTAAGATTCAGAGCATAGAACACACTGATGATAGAAACGTGTGGAGAGCTGCTTCAGACCAAGAATACCAAGCTCATTCTGCTGTTGCACCATGATTTAACTCTAACTACGACCAGAAAACCTTCTTTGGGGAATTTGAGTTTGAAAACATAGCTGCCCGGGGGCATCTGAGTGGTTCAGTCAGTTAAGCAACCGACGGTTGGTTTCCGCTCAGGTCATGATCTCATGGTTTGTGGGTTCAAGCCCCATGTCGGGCTCTGTACTGACAGCACAAAACCTGCTTGGGATTCTCCCTCTCCCTCTTTCTCTGCCCCTCCCCCACGTGCTTTCTCTCTCTCTCTCTCTCTCTCTCTCTGGCTCTCTCTCAATAAATAAATAAACTTTAAAAAGAAAAATGTAGCTACCTGTACAGTTCACCTTCAGGTCTTTTTAAAGCTTATTTTCTCTGTCACCTTCTTAGCATTGGCCCAGGATGCTTTGGGAAATACAGTGCAATGATGGTTGTAGAATTTGTGAATCAAAAAATGCAATGAAACATCATTAATGTATAGTGGAGGGAAAGTCCCTAAACATCAGAAGAATGTCACACAGTTCATCAGCTGTTCCTGTCTAGAGAATACTTAACATAGTACAGATTAATTAGATTAAGGGCATGTTGATGACAAGGTGACTGTTGGCTAGAGGCAAGGGGACATTGAAGGTGGGTGAAGTAAAGGCAGTGGATTAGGAGTCAAGTCTAGTTAGGGTACAGAATGAAGGCTTTGAATTTCTCACAAGCCCCTTTTCTAGATTGGGAAGAGGATCTGAAGCCTCATATCAGCAGAGTGATTGCCTTTGGGGCCTGGATGGTGTTTTGACTGTTAGCACAAGGGGGCTTATTGAGATGGTGGCTAAGATCTACATGTTGATGAGTAGGGGTTTACATGACATATGCATAAAATCATTCATCAAGCAGTATTTTTAATATTTATGTACTTTGCTTATGTAAGTTATACCTACACACACACACACACACACACACACACACACACGCACACGCACACACACACAAAATAAACAAAACAGATGGGATAGAACTGTGCAGGACCTTGATTTTATACTTCTCCCTAGAATAAATAGTTCCTAATGCAGCATTACCGCCATTTCTTCTCTCACATCTCCAAAAAGCATTAAAAACACATTTTTTTTCTAATCTTAACCTAGTTTCTTCAGAATGTACTCTTTGGTACTATGTAGACAATAGCTTCCTTTTATTTTCTTAAACAGCAGTTCACAATTAGCTATGTGAAGCTGTCATTGCCCTCAAACTCAGTCTCAGAACTTTATGATCCTATTGGCTTAATATAACTTAATAGGAATGATAATGACAATAGCTCCTGTTTATTAAGTGCTTATAAAGTTCCAGGGACCTGGTTACATACCTACTTATTTGATTTTCATAACAACCTTAGGAGTTCAATACAATAAATACGTGCATTTTTCTTGCAAAAGAAAAATGAAGTTTAGGGAGGTTGAACAGCCAATACATGGTCACATTGTGAAATATGGCAGAAATTTAGTTTTGTCTGTTATTAAAGCACAATCTTAAGCTTTCTGGAATGTACCACCTCCCAGCAGCCTCCAAATGCTCATGGAGAGGCACATCTTAATTGCAGTTCAGGCTTGTATGGCTTTTTACTTGCTTGGAGATAAAGAATTTTGGAGGAAATGTTAATTCTAAATAATGTACCATACCTTGGCGACCATGAGGCACTGTATGCAAAACAAAGTGTAATTAAGAGCATCAAAGCCATAAATGTTTAGCAAAGAAGGGCTATTGTTTTCTTTCTAATTTCATCTCTGAGCTGTGTTTTAATTCACATTAAATTTCTACTTTACAAAAGTTTTTTTTTCCTTTGAGCATGAACATTTAAAAAATAGTTTATCTGCCAGAAATGCAAAATATTACTCAAATACATCCTAACTTCTTAAACAGGGCACGCCTTCCACCAAATATTAATCTCTTCTTGATCCTTGGACACCATTAAGATGTGCTGCACTCTTCGATCCTAATCAGAATGCCCCAAGGTGATATGAGGCTCTTCTGGGTTTTCTTTACTGGATTTATCCATATTATTTTATTATATTCCAAAATTATAATTATGTCATCATTCTTAACACCTGTCACCTCAGGTAGTTACCAAAAGGTTTTTTTTCCCTTGTAATGAGAACTTGTAAGATCTACTCTGTTAGCAGCTTTCAAATACACCATACAGCATTAATTATAGTTATTTCATTTCCTTTGTGTATGTACTCAGAAGTGGAATTGCTGGATATGAAAGTTCCACTGCTAATTTTTTGATGATCCTCCATACTGTTTTCCACAGTGGCTGCACCAATTTACATTTCCACCAGCAGTGCACCCAGAGAAGTTTCCCTTTCTCCACATCCTCGCCAGCATTTATCTCTGGTCATGTTGATGATGACCATTCTAACAGGCATAAGGTGATATCTCAGAGTGGTTTTGATTTGCATTTCCCTGATGATCAGTCATGTTGAGCACTTTTTCATGTACCTGTTGGCCATCTGAATAACCTCTTTGGGAAAATGCCTATTCAGGTCCTTTGCCCATTTTTAATCGGATTATTTTCTTTTTTGTTATTAAGTTGTATGAAGTCTTCATATATTTTGGATATTAACCTGTTATCAGATGTATGATTTGCAAATATTTTCTCCCATTCTGTAGGCTGCCTTTTCATTTTGTTGATTTTGCAATATGGAGTTCTTATAGCTGTGTTTTATCTCCTTCACTCACTTTTTTTCACAGTTGGCCTTATGCAATTTTATTGAATTTTCTGCTTCACAACTCCTTTGGGCTAACGAGAATGTTAATAGAAAAATAACAGAGCTAAAAATACAAATAGTAGAGCCTTTTAGAATAGTTTGAAAAAAATAGTTTGAAAAATTGGGGGGAGTTGAAACGTTCTTCTATTTAAAAAAAAAAGTTGGGGCGCCTGGGGGCTCAGTCGGTTGAGCGACCGACTTCGGTTCAGGTCATGATCTCACGGTCCGTGAGTTCAAGCCCTGCGTTGGGTTCTGTGCTGAGAGCTCAGAGCCTGGAGCCTGCTTCAGATTCTGTGTCTCCCTCTCTCTCTGACCCTCCCCACTCGTGCTCTGTCTCTCTCTGCCTCAGAAATAAATAAACATTAAAAAAATTTTTAAAAAGTGCACATTTAGGTTTTTTGTCCCACCTCCTTTTTGTATGGATTCGTAGAATTTAGATTTTTCTAAAGGTACTTTTCCTTCTTTGTATCCTATGCTTTCGTTGTTACAGTTACCTGAAATACGTAATATCCAGACAAGTGCTTTATGGTGATTTAAAAAAAATGCTACTTTCTCAGGAGCAAGCTGATGGTTTCTGTCAGCTCCTTATTAGATGCCTTAAATCTCCAAGAGGCCACAGCAATGGATGTTCAAGAGTGGTCTCCAGGCAACGGGATCCCTGGCAGTTACTGCAGAGAGAGGACACAAAAGCGAACAGAAATGAGATGAGACGGTTAGTTTGAAGAAAGGAAGAATTCAGCAGAAATGTAGATGTATTTGAGATATATATAGATCTATATCAGAACTTTCTAGTATCTTGGAGATAGGTGTTGAGAGAAAAATTTTAATCTAGGATTTATTTCTTAAGTTAGATGACATGTTTAATCATTTATTCAGGACTTGTTTAATAGCATTTACATTTTTATCAGTAAAATGTAATGCAGAATACTCTGAAAATATCATTTTGATTCACTTTGATCAAATGCTCAAGTGACTTTTATCCTTTTTAAAGACTAAAATAAGCAGTTTAGGAAGGCGGGACTTACATGTTTCAAAGTGTGTCCCACGGCGAAAGAACAGACTCTAAATTATGTCACTAGTATCCAAAATAAATGAAGTCCCTGAATATTCTCTCCATTATAATAGTATCTCCAAGTGTTTTTAATGGTGATAAAATTGCCCTACTGAAATTAGGATCCACCTACTTTTATTTTCATTGTTCACTTACCTCCAGAATTGAGTATAAAACAGACACCTCTAACTACAGCACATACACTGAGACCATATTTGGGGGAAAAAAACAAACATTTGGGGGAAAAAACTAACATATGTGAATTAAGAATAAAAAGAAAAAAATTTATCACAAAAAATATTTATCTATAAGAGCACAGCACCATCTGTTCCACATGGTATTAAAGATCAGAGAATTTATTTCACCTTATTTTATTTTTTCAGGAGTAGAATTTAGTGACTCATCACTTACGTGTAACACCCAGAGCTCATCCCAACAAATGCCCTCCTTAATACCCATCACCCATTTGGCCCGTCCCACCACCTAACACCCCTCCAGCACCCCTCAGTTTGTTTTCTGTATTTAAGAGTCTCTTACGGTTTGCCCCCCTCTGTTTTTATCTTATTTTTGCTTCCCTTTCCCATGTTAATCTGTTTTATTTCTTAAATTCCACATATAAGTGAAATCATATAATATCTTTCTGTGACTAACTTATTTCCCTTAGCATAAACACTCTAGTTCCATCCACAGTGTTGCAAATGGCAATGGCAAGATTTCATTCTTTTTGATCACCAAGTAATATTTCAGTGTGTGTGTGTGTGTGTGTGTGTGTGTGTGTGTGTATGCCATATATTTTTATCCATGTCAGTCGATGTAAATTTGGGCTCTTTCCATAATTTGGCTATTGTTGATAGTGCTGCTATAAATATTGGGGTACATATGCTCCTTTGAATAAGCATTTAAAAAAAATTTTTAGGGGTGCCTGGGTGGCTCAGTCGGTTAAGCGGTTGACTTCGGCTCAGGTCATGATCTCATGGCCTGTGAGTTCGAGCCCCGCATCAGGCTCCGTGCTGACAGCTTGGAGCACTCTGTCTCTCTCAAAAGTAAATACATATAATGTTTATTTACTTTTGACAGAGAGAGAGAGAGAAAGAGAGAGAGCACGCGCGCATGAGTGGGGGAGGGGCAGAGAGAGAGGGAGACACAGAATCTGAAGCAGGCTCCAGGCTCCGAGCTGTCAGCACGGAGCCCAACGCGGGGCTGGAACTCACAAACCTTGAGATCGTGACCTGAGCTGAAGTTGATGCCCAACCAACTGAGCCACCCAGACGCCCCTTGAATCAGCATTTTTGTACCCTGTACCTAGTAATGCAATTGCTCGGTTACAGGGTAGCTCTATTTTTAATTTTTTGAGGATTTAAACTAAACGTCTTAACATTAAAATTAGCTACAGACCACTGGTGCATTACAACATAAAGGCAAACAATATGGGAGAGAAAATAAATTTGCCATTAAATATATTATGAATGGACCTGGACAGCACTTTAGGGTATACAAGGAATTGGAGCCCTCTCAAAGAAAAGACAGACACTGCCATACCTAATGCTTCTGGGTGCAAAGACCAAGAGAAATTGTAAAGGCCAAAATAATTTAATATTTCCAGTTTGCTGGAGGGTTTTACAGCCTGGAGTAATTAGTGTGCAGGAAAGAAACAGTGACTTTAACTTTCTTTTAAAATGCTCAGATTCATAAATAACATTCGTCTCTTATTGCTCTATAAATGTAACTTACTACTGTCAAACTTGCTGTGCCTTTTCATCTGCTCCCCGACTATCCTCCAAAGCAAGCAATATTCATATCTCCATTTCATCTCTTTTTGCAAGACCAACAACAATAATAGCAGTTATCAAATTTATACACAGCAGATGAATTCTGCCCATGCCGCATTTTGAACTGGGGAGGAAAGTATCTTTGATCTCTTTGCCTTGGTTTTATCTCTGAACATCTCTGTCTTTAGTCCCTTGCCTTCCTGTACAGACTATTCTAAAATTTCAAGGCATACATTACATTGTGGGTGTGTGAACCAGTGCTTTATTTTAAAAATTTAGCTAGATTTTTTAAGATGCAACGAATATCTCTCTATTCATGTGTTTACGGTCATGGGTGGTCAGGTTTTGTTTTTGCTTTATTTTGTTTTGCTTTATTTTTCTACTTGGATAATACGTGTATTCCTTTCTACCCTAACTCATTGAGGTATTATGGCAAGCAAGCCACGATCCTTTTGCTGCATGAATTTCCCATGTTTATTAAAATATCCTTATCCATTGATACTTTTTTTTTAATTTTTTTTAACGTTTATTTATTTTTGAGACAGGGAGAGATAGAGCATGAATGGGGGAGGGTCAGAGAGAGAGGGAGACACAGAATCCGAAACAGGCTCCGGACTCTGAGCTGTCAGCACAGAGCCCGACGTGGGGCTCGAACTCACGGACTGTGAGATCATGACCTGAGCCGACTGATACTTTTAAATGATACGTAACAACTCCCTTAGGATGTGCTCTTCATCTTCAGTGCATTTTGCAGACCATCATTAATTCTCTCGACACTTCAGGGAGGTAGATAAGTGGGCATTACTGGCCAGAATTGTATTTGGTCGAACTGTGGGAATCCATGCATCAAGAAAACAGAATGAAATTGAGACCCATTACCACCACTGTACAGATGAAGGAAATGAGACCAAAAGATTAAGTGGTGAACCAAGGAGGAAAAGGGAGCCTGTGTGAATGGAATGGAAAAGTTTTTTCAGTTCTGCTGCTCAACCCTAGGTCTTTTGTATCTACCTGGTTGCACACCTTTCCCTTGGCTAGGGAAAACAAATGGAACCTGTGTGTGATGCATTCTGTACAAAAACTTCTCTTAAGAATGATAAGATGTAGCAAAGGTAAAGAAAAACATTGCTTAATAATCACACCATGATGTAGGTATCCTAAATTTAGCACTAGAACTGGGGAAGCATCTGTTCAGAGTGGACCTTTACCACCTTAGTGATTGTTTTCTGAGGAAATACATTGATTACTGGGATGTCTTAGAGGAAATGTCTGTCTTTTTCTTTAAATATCTAAACAGTATATTGAACAAGCAGGATGTTTGATAAGCAGAATTCAACTCTAACTCACTACCTTTTCACAGGAAGCTTTTCCCCTGCCGTGGCTGAAAATTTGGTGGATCTGTGACTTTCCTGCTCACTCTTAGTCCTTAAATCTTCTAAGTTCAAAACACTCCTGTTTGGAAATTAAAAAAACATTTTTTTCTAATCTTTATTTTTGAGAGAGAGACAGAGTGTGAGCAGGGGAGGAGCAGAGAGAGAGGGAGACACAGAATCCGAAGCAGGCTCCAGGCTCCGAGCTGTCAGCACAGAGCCTGATGCGGGGCGGCTCGAACTCACAAACCATGATCATGGCCTGAGCCAAAGTCGGACGCTCAACCCACTGAGCCACCCAGGTGCCCCTCCTGTTTGGAAATTTTAAATGCCTAATTTAAGATGCAAACATTTCAAACTTCGGCCCAGGCTTCTCCCCATCTTCTCACTGTGGACAATATTTGGTGGGTCACCTGTGTTTGGAAAGAGAAATGTGGCCAAGTTCTTTTTCCCACCTGTTTCCCACCCAGCAGCTCCCCCCCACCCACCAGTGCATATCCAACCAACCGATGTGAAAGTTGCAGGACAGAAGAGTGAAAAGAAGGGCACAGGAAAGTTCCAGCTCAGTTCCTAATACCTAGCCAGCTTCTTACCCTGTGCTGGGCCCCTCAGACAGCAGTCTTCAGGAGTTGGAGCTTCTCGGGACACCTGGGTGGCTCAGTCGGCTAAGCATCCGATTTGGGCTCAGATCATGATCTCACAGTTCATGAGTTCAAGCCTCATCAGGTTCTGTGCTGACAGCTTGGAGCCTGGAGCCTGCTTCGGATTCTGTGTCTCCCTCTCTCGCTGCCCCTCCCCCACTCATTCTCTCATTCTCTCTCTCTCTCTCTTTCTATCTATCTCAAAAATAAATAAACGTTATTTTTTTTAAGGAGCTAGAGCTTCTCCTCAGCCGTCCTAACCTCAATGTAATGATATTAGGCGGTGGGGCCTTTGGGAGGTGACTGGGTTTAGATGAGCTCATGAGGGTGAAGCCCCATGGTGAGATTAGTGCCCTTCTAAGACGAGGAAGGGACACTAGAGCTTTCTCTCCCTGCCATGGGAGGATTCATTGGGAAGGAAGACAGGAACAAGATAGGAGGAGGGCCCTCGCCCAAAACCAAACCTGCCAGCACCTGGATATTCAACGTCCTAGAGTCCAGAAAGGTCTGTCGAGAAAATAAATGCCTGTGGTTTAAGTCGCATAGTCTGTGGTACGTTTATCAAAGCCTGAGTTGACTAAGACACTGCTCTGTACTTGCTGGGGTGCAAACTCCCCACACCCAGCCCTTTCCCCCTCCCTCTCTGCACTGCCACAGACCCCCTTTCTGCCAAAAAGTACTGCATCTTGTTCCTTTTTCCTCCCTTTCCAGTTTCTCTCCCTATTCCTCAAGACCATGGCTCTTCTCCAGCCAGTCTGATCCACTCACTGATACTTTGGCATCCCATGTGCATTCAGACCCAGCATCTTTTCACCAATATAGCCTCTTGCTTGGCTGTCCAACCTCATTTCCGGCCTCTCACTCACAAATGCCCTTGGATTCTGCTCTATGGGCTTTTTTCAGTGTCCCAAATGCACTGTATTTCTGCCTCATGTGTCTTTTTCTTGCCTTGTTGTATTAGTTACTTGTGGATGCTATAACAAATTACCAAAAACTGTTGCTTCACAGAGAAAAACAGAAATTTGTTGTCATATTTCTGGGGGCAGAAATCCAAAATCAAGGTGTATGAAGGACCGTGCTTCCTCTGATGGCTGTAAAGGAGAATTCTTCCTTGCCGCTTCCAGTTTCTCATGGCTGTCGACATTCCTTGGGCTCATGTTCAAACTTCTGCCTCCATGGTCACATTGCCTTCTCTTCTTCGGTCTGCCAAATCTCCCCTATGTGTCTCTTATAAGGATACTTGTCATTGGATTTAGAATCCATTTAGGTAATCCAGGGTCATCTTGTGATCTCAAAATCCTTCATTTAATTACATCTGCAAAGACTCTTTCCAAATAAGGTAACGTTCACAGGCTCTGGGAATTGGGACATGGACATGATCTTTTGGGGACCACCATTCCAACCACTATACTTGCCCATTACTTCCCTCGTCTCTTTTGCAACCTTCCGAGTAGCATCTCTGTCTCCATTTTTGCCTCCGCTCGATATTCTCTGCCGTCTTCCTGAAACACAACTCTATTCCTGCTACCAACCCTTCTGCTTTATAGTTTCCCCTTTACCATGGCTTTCAAAGCCCTTCATGATCTCATCCCAGTTTAGCTCACCAAACTCGTGTGCAACCACTAGTCAGATATCTTCCTGCCATCAAAACTGTATACAGTGCTTGCTGTACTGAACTTTTCTGTTTTGAAATATGCCCTGTTCTCTCTCTTGCTTTTCCACAGGTTGTTTCTTCTTCCTGAGTACTTTCTTTTCATCCTGGGCTAACTCACCTTTCAAACCTCATTTTAATTACCACTTCCTTGAAATTTCATACTGTCTTTTTGTTTAGTTGTCTTTCTTTCCTGGTAGAGAGGCCACTCGGACACCTTCTATGTCACTGTTGTGTCCACAGCTTCTAGACGTATACCTGAATAGGTACTTCATCCATAGATGATGAATACATGAAGAGATATATCCATCACACTTTTTCAAGAACTTATCAAATGTAAAAGATGGAAATCTTGTACAGCTGATGACGAATTTAGCTGCTCAAATTTCAAACCAAATGAAAATATGACACAGGTGAAATAAAGAAAGTAAACGTGAGATTCAATGCAGACTTTCTAATTCAATGGAGAGCATAAAATCAATATTTACACCTGGGTCTCCCTAAAAAAACCCTGTTTTGCTTGGCTTTCAGTGTAGAAAAGAATATGTATTTCTTATGTTTTAAAACACAACATTCAGGCACCTTGATCCTAAATTGATTGATCCCCCAAAAAGCAATTATTAGTTTCACATTGTCATAATGTTGTTGTCAGGGACAGTATGTATGACTCCTTCTCAGGTTGGTCATGTAACATGAGCCACACTTCACTGAGTCCATGGCATTTTAATAACTTGAACTTAAAGTAGTAAAAGACCAAATTATATTTGTTAGCCTCATGTGGTGCAAGAACTTCCCTTAGGGAATGATATGAGAAGCAAACTATCCTCTAGTAGCAAAAGGGAAAAAAGAGGTCAAGATTTATGGAATGGGGCTGAAAGGCTTAATGGCTACTTTTCTTTGTAGGCATGCTTCTCACAGCACTCCTGCTAGCTGATTTGCTTTTAAAAAGTGACCTTGTCTGTCTTATAGATTAAAATCCAAATTCTTGTTAATGGTTTATTTTATGTTCTGTGACTTGAGTGATAGGAGATTGATAAAACAGTCTTTGAAATCACAAAATGGTGAATTGATTGGCATAATCCCAAACTGTTTGCATGAAATCAGTTATTGGTGCTGTTGCCTAAAACTTTTTATGATTTGTATTTCCTAATGAGGGTACATTGGTGAGAAAGGATCATTTTTAAATTAAATCTGAGCAGATGTGTGAATATTTTAAGGACCATTCAAAATTATTAAGACTGCTGACTTTGACTTTAAGTTAAGAAGAAAAAATAGAAAGCTTTGGTGCCGATGCAACTTAGTTACATAAGCTGAGTATTCTTTAGTAACCTCTGTACATCATCAAAAGCAAATAATTAATATGTCACTGTCCAATCAATACCTGTCGTTACCAGCAGATAGTTTTGAGTTTGTCATCTCACTGAACCTTAGCAGTCCAAAAACGGGAGAAATCTGAGTAACGGTTATAAATGACTATAGGAAATTAAGGGTCACCTTCCCATTAAGATTCATTCACATCTGGTAGGAAACTGATCTCCCTTGCTAAATGTGGGTTGATCATAAATAGAATGGGACATTGAAACAATGGGATTGAATCAGTATGGCAATTTCTAGATTGCCGGGCTAAATTTTCTCCTCATTTGGGAAACAGCAATCTGCCTATTTTCATAGTCCAACATCTCTTTTAATGGCTATACATGTAAAGGTTGCAAGCATTGTTTAATTTATGTACCACTTTATTAATGTTTTACTAATTTTGTATATAAACAATCAAATACTTTTCTCTATTGAATATTAATTTTGTAACTTCTTTCCACACTTTAAGTGCATTTAGTAGATTTGAGAATCTGAAATAGGACTGAAAAGAAAATAATAGCATTCATAACAGCACTCCATCCATTTAATTTCTGTAAATGAAAATGTGTTGACTTAAACTACTGTCTCGGTTTTGTTGAGAAATTGCTGCTAAAATCACCTTTTTTCCTCAGTTCCACATCACTGAATCCACCTGACTTTTCCCCTGGGCTCCATCCTTCACCTCCTGAACCAATTTCAACTGAGGCAGAAAGTCCTTAAGCAGCTTTAAACCCTCTTTGTTACACTTAGTCATTGATTACCAACTTTGACTCATATTAGCACCACCAGCGTAACATTAAAAATATAACCCCTAGCTGGATCTCATCCCCAGGGATTCTGATTTAATTGATTTGGGTTAGGGCTTGGGCATCAGTATTTTTGTGATATAATTTAAATCTAATGCAAATCCAGAGTTGACTGCAGCCTTCATTCCAAGACAAAATGAGACTGGCTTTCATATTCTATACCAAGTCAGGTGCCCTGTGGGGCCTATTCAGCTCTACAATTCTGGGAGCCTAATAACCTGGGTCCTTGGAAGTTTCATCTCTCTTGGAAGGTAGTCTTTCCAGGGCCCACCCATGGGCTTCATTTTGTTGCCTGAGTTGGAACTCCTTACAATGTCTCTTTCTTTCATCAAGATTCTTGCCCCCAAAACAGAATTTCAGAGAGGTCAAGTCACAGAGCTCATTGATAATGGAGACAGGATTCAAAAACTGGTATGCTGATTTCATATCCTGTGCTCTGACTCACACCAGTGCATTAATCAGGATAATTTTGCAGAAACTGATAAACCCTGAAATCTCAATGGCTTGGCCCAACACCATTTTATTTCTTGATCACATCAGCAGCTCACCTGCGTGGCTGTCTCAAGCCATGCCTCGGTGACTCAGCCTCCTCCCATATTGTGAGCTTACCATCCCAGAATCCTTTGCTTTCAGTCACATAGACAGGCTAGGGTGGAAGAGGTGAAGAAGAAACACCAAATCTTAACTAACCTTGACAGGAAGTGATGCATCGTTCCCTTTAAGATTCTGTCGGGAAGAATTATTCACACAGTCCCTCCCCTCCAAACTGCAGGAGAAGATGAGAAATGGAGAGGAGCACGTGGCTGTTACTATTCCTGCAGCAACTGCCTGCCTTAGGTGCCTCTGCGGAACGAAAGATTATTATTTCCTTAATCTCCTGTGGCTGTGTTGCTCTTTATTGCATCTGCTTCTTTCTGTCCAATCAGCATTAATTTGTCAGAAGAATTGTTAAAGAAGAATCTTTAATCTACAGTAATGACTTACACTGTAATTTGCTATTCTGCCTGTCCACACAGGCAATAGAAGTTACCTGAGTAAGTATAGGTATTCTGCCAGGCTGCACAGTTTACATTGGCTAGTTTTCTTCTTGCTGGTAGAATTGTTATTTCTCAGGCCACTCCTCCTGCCTTTAGTTTTTCCTAATAGATGGGATAGGATGAAGTTTGCCTGACTTCTGAGACATGCAAAAAGATGGTTCACTCAGATGGTTCAAACCAGGCATAATTCCTTCCCTGTAGGTGGCATGGCTCAAGGAATGAGTAGCCCCTTGGCCTATTGGAATGTCAAAGAATACAGTGAAATGTTCAATCACATTGTAATAGTTACTCTTAAAAATGCGCAGAATCCACTTGATTTTTGAATCTTTTATTCTCTTTATTAAAAAATAGCATGTAAGATATCTTCTATTCTGTTGTGTCATGGTATAACCATTTTTTGTCAAGATCCTTAAGATAAAACTACATCCAAAGTAGGAATAATTAATTGAGCTGATTAGATAATATGAATGAGTACATGCAGTTATAATTACTTATGTAAGATATGTAATACTACCTTGATAATTAATTACATCTCCACAGACTTGAGATTGTTGTTTGTATTAACTATAAATGAGATAAGAAATACTGAAAAGAGATAGTCTCTTTCCACCTCAGAATTGGAGGTGATGTTGGGAAAGAGATTTGTGTGAATGAATATAGCTTGAATTACAATTAGCCAACATTCATAAAATTCTGTTCTTGTTGGAGTGTAATTAATTATCACACTGAAATTTAACCCTCTTCTAATCTTTTCTCAATGTTCATTAGGCTGAGATTTCCACCTCTGGTTTGCTTTCCTTTTTTTGACCTGCAGCCGCTGTGTGATTAAAGTGGAATTTCTGCTAACTGGTTGTGGTGGTAGGGAGCTGGAGGGGACCTCTGGCATCATCTGATCCAGTTAGATTCTAACTGTACAAAGACCTGGATCAGAAGATCAGATTTCATGAAGCAATCTAAGAAAAACTCAAAGATTATTATTTTTAATATACATTTTACAGAGGTTTAAAGACAGTTGTTTCAAAGAAGGATGGTTAAGAGCTCGTTGATTATACAAATAAAGCAAACCTTCTACCCCTGCATGCTCGTTATGTTCAAAATTTAAGTAATACAATATTACGGAGCAGATAGGCCTTTTATAAACATATTCATCTTTGGAAAACACACTTGATTAAAGACAGACCAGGAAAATTTATCTCCTGCGCTTGGTATGGCACCTTCTGGGCTGGACCCTTCCCTTCTTCCCTGTGACAGGTCTCTTCTTTGGGAGAGAGAAGATTTCTGGTGAACTAAATCCCACTGAAGTGTCACACATTTACAGGGTAGTGTTGCACAGTGAAATAAGGTGCCTCCAGATTCAATGACTTCTAAGTCCTGGGAATGTCCAACAGCTTTGGATGACTGGTGGATAACACAGAATTATGATAATCCTTTCAGAGTTTGAACTTGATGACTTTAAGGCACTGCTAATTCTACTTTCTATGCTGTTCTTGAACTCCCTCCTGTCTGCCTTCCTCCATATCCCACTACTGTGGTCAGGTTCAGTCTCTTGACATCTTTTTCCCAGATAATTACAAAGATCTTGTAAAAGGACTGCCCGGACACAGCCTGGTACCCATCAACTCCACTCCACTCCATATTACTCTTTGACTGGCCTGTGCTTACAGCTTTTCACTTGCTTTCCATAAATTACAATAAAAAAACAAGATCTCGGCAGTGTCAATGAAGATCCTCCCAATCTGCTCCCTAAATCGTGGCTTACTCTTCAAGAGATTTGCCTCTTTCCTCGTCCAGCAGCCCTTGACTTTTCATAATCCCTTTAACATATCATGATACACTACATTCCTATGGCATTTATATGTTGTTCTTTTGATCTTGAGTGTGCTTCTGCTCTAATCTCCTCAATTCCCTTTGATTCAGTCCTAATCTTCTTTTAGTAATCAGAAGGGGTTTACCTCCTTCAGGAATCCATCCTCAAACACCCCCCAACCACTTAGACACTGCACCCTCTTTCACTCACACTCTCACACGTACCCAATCTCTACCCACACATGCTAGCACATACACTAACACATTTGGAATCGGCACTGGCTGCTCTCATAGAACCTGGACTAGGCTTCCCCATTTGCACCTAATGCCATGCATGACTACACGCATGTGTGTCTGTGTCTTCGTCAGTCTTTGTGTTTCTTGAACCTTCAACATCGTGTCTAAGCTAGAAGAGATACTAAGAAGTGTTTGATATTGCATAATTCATGATTCTCTCCAACCTTGAGATTAAATTATTTTTTTTTAAATAAAGTCAGCTAGAATAGATGGCCACTAGAAATCCTCATAGTTCTACACGTGCAAACCTGCCTGACGCTACCGTTTTGACTTTGTGGCACCTTTAATATATTTGGATGAAGGACAGACAAAACCAGGATTTGAGGGCATTTGTCTTTTTCATTCTCTATCATTGTAGCCCATACTCATAAATTCAAACTTGGACCTGGAATCCTAATCATGTCAACTACACAAAGTTATAGTGTGTGTGATAGTCTGTGTCATTGTATGCCAAAACTTTTCCTTTCTTCCTGAATTGACCATCTCTATTTCCCCCACGTCTTTCCTCATTGGTTATATATCGCAGGTCTGGGAACAAGCATCCGAGCCAAGCTGGGCCAATTGTGATATTCCTGGCTGTGGGCAAGTGGGTTGATCTAGAGGTAGGTCCCCAACTCCAGCTAGGCCAATCTCATTCCTTCACTGGAAGTGTAACTACTGGAATGACACATCGTTGAAATCAGTTTTTCTCTCATGGCTAATTGTAAGCCATAAAGCTCAGAAATTGTTTGAAGCTGTGTAGAGGCAGCCACCTACGGTGAAAAAGAATGATGTTGATGCTATGGTAAGGATGTATTGATCGTGAATGACTTTAAGAGTCATTAAAATGAGCCTGAGGCTAGATCCTACAAAGAAGCCAAAGTGTAACACTTCCGATCAACCACATCAGGCTGGCACAGCTGAGGTTGTGAGCAAGACGTTCAGAGAGGTGTGATCCAACAGCAGCTCTTGGGTCTGGGCAGTCCCAGGCTCGTGAGAGTTGTTGGCCGATCCTAAATGTCAGAACTGAGCAAATCACTGACAAGCCTAAAACACAAGATGGCCCCAGCAGACAGTGATCAATTGCAGGCTTGTCTCAGCTGAGGATGGGGACTTGCTAAGGTCCAGGAAGAAGATCACAGTTGTTAGGGTGGGAAGGCCAATGTATAATGCATAGTCTAGCCATTGGTAAAACCACATGAGGAAACACCAGGTTAGGCAGCACATGGGCTCGCTACCAACGACCCATTACAATATCAAGGTCTGTTACCAACTTCAGCAGTTAATTTGGAAAGGTTTACAACCTCCAACATCCACCCAAGTCCTATGGGAACCTTATTAAATTTTTAGAAGTCTACGCCTGGAGGGCAGCTGTTATTCTGCCAGGTCCATAACTGTGTGAGCCTCTCTCCATGCTGGAGTCAATGAAAAGGAAAACAGATTACTCTGAGGGCTCTGAATTTTCATATTCAGATTCACTCTCTTACATCTTAGATGCTCTCAGGACTTAAATCTCAACAAAATACATTTTCAGTAGAAATCCCCATGGTCACTGTTAAGAAACTGGTTTGTGATTTTTTTCCCCACTCAAAATATGACTTTAAAAAGTACAGAAAGAAAAAGATAGTCCTGCCTAAAGTAATTATCATAAGCAAGTTAAGGTAATTAGCTCAGTATGAAGTTGTAGCAAAGGTTACTTCAAAACGGTGAACTGTGCCAATGCATTATAAATGAGAGTATTATATCTACAAGCAATTGGAAATTTTTTAGGTTTGAAAGACAAACTTATGTGGATGTAGGGAAAACCTATGTATCCATTTAAATCTAGCTTATGATTGCATATCTCATATAGTCTTCATTTCAACACATTTTTATGAACTGCATTTCATGCAGCAAGGGGCCATGACCCCGAAGACATTCTGCACTCTGGCCTCTTGCTTACTCTCCAATTCAATCAGTCATCAGGTCTTAGAGCTTCAATTTCCCACACATTCCAGGAATCCTTTCTCCTCTCCTTCTCTGCTTTCCTTCGAGACTGTTCATCTTTATATGCCTAGTGCTTATTAGTAGAGTGAAGGGACTCCGTAAACTTTTGCTGAATGGATGAGACAATGAGAGCAGGCAGTCCACTGGAATATAACCAGCTCTGTAGCGGGGATTAGGACCACTGAGCTCTATTCTTTACCATGAAACTGGCTAGAAGATCTTTATCTTCACCTCTCACAGATTTGGTTTTCTCACTTGCAAAACAAGCGGGTCCGTTTCTATTTCACAACGGTACCCTGCAGATCAAAAACTTTTATATGCTACTAAGAAGTATTAAGAAATCATTGCTGCTGTCTTTAGTCTATGACATTTATACTGTTTAAAAAACAACAGTTCTCTTTTGCTGAGTCTGATCAAATCCTTTAATTATTTTCTTGTCTTCATCTTATATGCCTACAGATAGGGTCTAAAATTCTTGAAGGCAGGCACCATATATCATTCAAATTTTTTTTGTATCATTCAGATTTTATCTCAGCACCCAGAAGAGTGGCTACCACACATTAGATGCTCAGAACCGATTTCATGAATGAAATAATGAATGTTGCTATCTAGCGGCGGCCATTTAGAATTGCAGGCATAATGCTAGAACTAAATCAAACACCTCAAGGGCATGACTGGAAAATAAGCTGATTTAATTGTGGATCAATACCACTTTTTGAGATATTGCTGTTTTATAAACAATGAAATGAAACATTTTCTGCATTTGCAAGAAAAAGGTTCTAGGACCTTCTGTAACTATGAATTGTTGCATTTAGACATTGACTGACAGTACATTATGTTGTGCTATCCCAAGTCTATATTGGCAGCTAATCGGATAAATGATATTTGGAATCCACACACTGTATAGAACATATCATGGAATATAGTTTAGGGAATCTTCAATCAGATTGCTGTTTTCCTAAATGAAAGTCAAATTTATAAATAACCGTTATTATCAATATTACTATTATTTTATTATATGCATTTGATCTTCATTGAACTTACTTCATAAATCTAATATAGGTATGGGGAACTCGTTCAGAAAATTTGGTCAGTGGAGATAACTGAAAAGCAACCAATCCTCAAAGGGTATCTTCTGGTTTGAATTATTCTTGCTTTCTTCATCGGTCAAATCATTTACCATTGAACTCCAGTGATAAAATGTTATTGTGTAGATCACCCTACCAGTCACAACACATTCAAGATCATTTGTCATTCTCATTTTGTATTCTCTTTGACATCGAGGCATTGTAGTGATTTCTTGAAGGTCTCTCACTGAATCATTAAAATTTAGCTGTATATAAGATGCAAGATGAATGATCCCAATTTAATAGAAGTTGGATGTAGTCTCTCATGCTTTCTTGGTTTTGACATGCTTTTTTGGAACTTTTTCACGGGGATGTCAGAGTACCTGTATGCTACTTAAAACTGCTCTTCCATATTGAAGTTTTCTTTTTCTTTATACTGTATGCTAATCTTGGCAAAGGATCTGTATTATGTAAGCTTGGGTCAAGGATTGTGTCACACACACAAAAAACACACACACACACAAAGTGAAATAACAAAGGTTTTAATAATTTTTTAAGGCATTTCTTTCTCTCTCATGAAATCCAGAGATAAGCAATTCAAGGCTGATACAGCATCTCCTTCAAACCTCCATCCCGAGGAGGGCTGTCTTCATTTCAGAAAGCAGGACAGATGGAGGGTAGGATGGAGGGACAAAAAACCCATTCAAGCAATTTTTTAAGGAGGTTTCTTGAGAGATGTCACAAAATATTTTACTTACAACTTACTTTTCCAGAACTTTATCACATAAAAAAAGACCAGCTTTAAGAATCAGGGAGGTAAGCAATAGTATTTATTTCAGGTAGGCATGAGTTAACCGGCAAGAGTTCTTTTATTAAGGGAAACATACAGAACAAATACTGAAGTAGACAACTCTCTACTACAGGATTGAGTCAGGAGATTAGGTAGATTTATTCATGTAGGGAAACATTGTGCTCACTTTGGCAGCACATATACAGAGAAACATTAGTTTCTAATTTTGTTTTTAATTTTTTAGGGCTTATTTTATTTTTGCGAGGGCGTGGGGGGGGGGGAGAGACAGACCACAAGTGGGAGAGGGGCTTATTTTATTTTTGCGAGGGCGTGGGCGGGGGGGGGTGGGGAGAGACAGACCACAAGTGGGAGAGGGGCGGAGAGAGAGGGAGACACAGAATCCGAAGCAGGCTCCAGGCTCTGAGCTGTCAGCACAGAGCCCAGTGTGGGGCTCGAACTCACAAACTGTGAGATCGTGACCTGAGCCAAAGTTGGACACTTAACTGCCTGAGCCGCCCAGACGCCCCTAGGTTCTAATTTGACTATGATGATAACAGAGAAGTTACCGGTAAACCACCTCTCCCAAAAGGATAATTTGAATGAAGTTAGTAAAGAAGATTAGCATGATAAAAGGCAAAATAAATTATCTTGAGCATATCTGAATTTTACAGGATTTTTTTTGCAAGTAACATAGACTTATTGGGAGAATCTTATGGATTGATGTTTCTACCCTCCTAAAATAAGCATTTTACATATGGGGTTATAACAATATTTGGTCATGCTTTAACCATTTGAAATTATAGTAGTCTTACTTGATTTATATATTCTGCATATATTTATATATTTATATCAGATATAAATATATCTGTATATATTTATTTATATATTTATATCAGATATATATATCTGATTTATATATTCTGATTGATTTATATATAAGAGAATATATAAATTCTTTATTATATTATAGGTGTACGTGTAGCTGGCTAGAGAGAGACAGATATAAACATAGATATATGTAGTTCCGGGGTCCTCTTGTAATTAATGGAAGTTACAGAACTAAATATTTTTAATATTGAAAACCATACTCCATTGGGTTTGTTTTTCTTTCTAAACATTCTGTAATAACTTATCAAAGCAAGAAAATGCATCATTTTTAAATTAAGCAGTTCAGAATTTTACTAAATCCTATACCTTATCGATTGTCAATACATTTAGAATAAAATATTGGTTTTAAAGACTTCTGGACATGAAAATATTATACCACAATATTTTAATGCATTGGATAAAAGAACAGTTATTGAGCAAATGGAATCATAGATTGAGGAAAAAATTTTGCCAAGCTTTATTCTGTCCACATGTGCATTTTACTTTCAGCACTACAGTTGGGATATTTTTTTCTTTGCTTTAATTCATTGCATATGGATCACCATAAACAAATAGGATTATTTAGTAGTCCCTTCTTTAATAAAGAGGGCCTCTGTTTCACTTATAAATTTTCATTGTAATAGGAGATGAGGCCATTTTAAGTTTATTCTTTTGAAATCGTGGTCATTTTTTCCCCAGAAAAGTCCCTCTTCTAAAAATTGTCTCTCCCTTATTTTTCATGTACTTCTTAAAAACTCTTTCGTCCATATGCAAAGTTTCTCCTAATGGAAACATTCTGTAGCTCTGCCTGTATCTTGTATGGGCATCGAATATTTCTGTGGCCCTTTTTATTATCTTATTTTATGGAGACTGGTGTTATTAGATTATTGCTTAGAATATTCATTTGTCCTTTGTATTATGCTGTTTTATAAAATGCATTTGTAAGTTGGTTATGTCAGAGAAGAAGAGAAATATCACAGTGGTATTTTTTCATATCTACTATTTACCGCAGACATTATTTAATTGTAAAACCATGTCAAGATATCTGTATTAAGTTGCTAGATAACAGTGCTGACCCTAAAAGTGTGTCGTAAGTATTACTGTGCCAATGGCAACATTATGAGAATCTTTTTTACTTATGAAAAGCTATTTATGGAATGAAATATATTATCCCTGAGCCTTGTTATAGACCACAGATTTATAGTATCATTAGAGCCACTACAAATACATTTAATATCTTAATTATAAAGTCTCATTTTGGTACAGATTTTCAATCTATAATTTCATTCAAAAGTTTTTCATTATCAGCAGGTGGTCAGTATCTACCCATGGAGTTAAACAATACACACTAATAGGCATTTGCAAATATTTTGGAGAACAGAGAAGGAAGCATGTGGGGTGTCTTTCCTCCTGACAGGAATCACTTCTCCTATCAACGGAGTGTCCTACAGTTCAGCTCAATTCTGACACTAAGTCCCTGAGTTGGCGTCAGACTCCACAGGTTTAAGGACTCAGTCCCACAAGACTGTCCTCATTTCAGATGCCAGTCACCAGTATCACGTTCCCGGGTTACCCACACTTCCATCTAACATGGCTGTAAAGTCAGGGATTCCCACAGCCTCCTCCTTCGGGGTTGAATCAATGCTAGAATTCACAGGACTCAGGAAAACACTTTACTTGGAATTACCAGCTTACCATAAAGGATACAATACAGGACAGCAAATGAAAGAGCTGCATAGTGCAAGGTCTGGGGGGAGGTGGGGCGTGGAGCTTCCAGAACTTCAAGCACTTTTTAGATACTCCCCCTTCTACAGCATTATCTTGTGCTCACCAACCCAGAAGCTCTCTGAACCCGTCACGTAGGGGTTTTTTTGGAGGTCTCCCTGTGCATGCATGATTAAATCACTGGTCATTGGTGATTAACTAATTTGCAGCCCCAGGCCTCTTTCTCCGAGGTCAGAAGTAGAGCTGAAAGTTCCAACCCATTAATAGTGCTTAGGACTTTTTCTAGAGATCAGCCCTCTTCTTATAGCTGTCTAGGGGCCTCCAGCTACCAGTGATCTCATTAGCAAACAAAAGACACTTTTATCACTCTGTAGATTCTAAGGGTTTGAAGAGCTGTATGCCAGGACCCTGGGACCAGACCAAATGTTTATTATTTTTTTTTTTTATTATACCACAAAGCAGGAGTAATTTTTGTATTGAAGTAGCAACAGAAATGAACTACGGTAAATATCAGTAGGGGTAATCAAAAAGTATATTCAAACTTGGCAACTCTCATGAGTTTCTAATTAATAGAATTAAAAGATCTTCCAAATACCATAGACTGTTAGATCTTCAGTACAAATTGCCCGGCCTATGCAACCACTTGCTTTGTTACAATATCATTAGTGGCATAACGTTTTAGAAAAAGTCATCTAGGAAAAACCAACGTTAATTTATTCGCAAGTGAATTAAATCAGACATCAGTATACTTTTTCTGTAACAGGTGAGAGTAACTATTTTAGACTTTACAGACCATGTGGTCTCACAACTATTCAACTTTGACATTAGAGCACCAAACCAGTCAGACAACATGTAAACAGATGGGTTGGGCTTTGTTCCAGTAAAACTTTTATTTGCTAAAACAACTAGGCATGGCCTTAGTTTGCCTACTGTGGGACTAGGCTGAGTAAAACAGCATTCACTATAATAAATGATTAAAATGAACAATTAAAAAAATAATTTGCTTTAACAAACTTGGATTTTTGCCTATTGATTGTTGTATATAACCAAGAAAACTGAATGTTTTTGTTTAGTACTAAGCTTACAGAATTATTCAATACCATGAGAAGATAATTATTTCTGAAATTTTTTTTAGAATTCATGAAAGGTTTTGCAGTAGTCTCCTGAAAACAGAAAATTGTCTTTGCATACATATTTATCCAAATTGTGCTTTAAAAAATTTTTTTTAATGTTTATTTAGTTTTGAGAGAAAGAGAGAGAGAGAGCATGAGCAGTTTAGGGGCAGAGAGAGAATGAGATACAGCATCTGAAGCAGGCTCCAGGCCCTGAACTGTCAGCACAGAGCCCGATATGGGGCTCGAACCCACGAACATGAGATCATGACCCGAGCTGAAGTCGGACGCCCAACCAACTGAGCCACCCAGTGGTCCCTCAAATTGTGC